ATCCACATTAGTCATATAAATGCAGAAATTCATTTATTTCAATTCATATATGCAAATTTTTTACTTTATTTTAATAACTTTGGCGTTTTTTACATCACTTTAAACACCCTGTCTAACATTTTGACAGTTACTTTCCATTTAGCTTCCAGGCAGAAGACGAACATTTGTCACTTGTAACTGCCATCCCTAAATTGGCGCGTCAAGCGCCAAGCAACTGTCAAAAATCCTCATGCCCATACAATTTGTATGAAGCATCCCACAATAACGCGNAATGGAATTTTCATTTTTGACAGAACGTTACGTGCTGAAGTGGGATGCAGAAGACGAAGAGAAAGAGAACGGACAAAGAAGTGAAAAAGGAAACGAGAATAAAAACGAGAGGACCTGAGAAAACGTCAAAATTGATGACGCGTTGATTTGGGTATAGCGCGCGCTGACACTCGTTGGCGCTAGAAAACCAAACGCTTGGCGCGCCAATTTAGGGACGACAGTAAAGCTTGATATACATACAGTTCAATGCGAGCGTGAGCGTGAGTTTTTTATTTTGGCCAATATCTTCGTTATTACTCAACTTTTTGCTATAGTTGAGACATGAAAAGATATAGAATTAAAATATCTTTCAGAATTATAGAATAAAAACTAATTCAAAAGGCATAATATGCCTCTATGTAGAGAGCAAGTCAACTTTTGCATGCGATTATTGCCTGTCAAAAAATCACCTCATGTAAAGGCAGCTTAAGAATGCACAATGCTGCCAAATTTGGGTGAGAAGCAAGGCTGGAAACAAAGTTCGTTTTTAGTTTATTTTAACTTTCGAACTAGGTCTTTCATTCCTTTTGATGAACTAGTTCAATGCACGAACTAGTTCGTGAACTACCCAACTCTGCAATCGATGGTAATGAACTATCGACAGAACTGCTATGGTACGTTTTCCAACTCTAATTTTCTTGCTATTTCAGTTGTATGCATTAATTTTCTGATATTTCTGTGTAATAAGGTTTAAAAAATTGGCAAAAGCGGTGAACATTATCTGTAAAACACATAAAAACAAGATGCTGAGAGACAAAATAACTTTAATTGAGCGTATTAATAACACATTATGAAACTGGCCCCCTTTATCTCAAGTCCTATTGGTATATTGAGATCAATAAAATTGTGAGAAAGTATATCCCTAGAGCTGCTGTTACCGCAGCTGCAATGAGAATTGCAATGGGTCGCATAAGGAACAAAAAAATTTGGCTCTACTTCGATCGGATATCGGATTATGCGGCGCGCTGTAAGAACTGCAAACTAAATTTGTCTTGCAAACATACTTCAGCAAACTTGGTCCGTCATTTGTATTACAAGTAGGTCGTGTTCATTTAATATATTGCTCAAATACTTCACCCATTGTTGGTGGCTCCTTTTTACTTGTCCTCAGGCACCATGTTGACGCGAGCTACTACGGTGCAGAACGTACTGGGTTTCTAAAGCAAAAGCGCGGAAGAATTAATCAACGTTCTGAAGTTGGCCTACAAGTAGCATCTGCGTATCTACCGCCGGTACTATCTGCAACTGATCCATTCGATCCACTTGCGGTAATAAAACAAGAAGTTGTCCCATTAAAACTTGTACGTTGCAATGGATCCGATGAAGATGCTGAAGACCACGAAGATGCGGTATTATTCTCATACAAAGCGTCCATA